CAATATTCCAAATGTGGTCTAACCAGAGACCTGTACAATGAAAATATAACCTCTTTAGACTTGTATTCAATATTTCTTTAGATACAACCTATTTGCCCTACCACTAGCAACAGAAAACTGCTTGGATGGCTTTAGAGACTGATCAATTATTACACCAAGATCCCTTTCCTTCATAACACTATTAAGGTTATTCCCATCCAAATTATACTTATAATTCAAATTATGATAACCCACATGCATTATCTTGCATTTATTATAATTAAAAACAATCTGCCAGTTATTTGCCCAACTCAAGATAATATCTAAATAATGAATATACTAAAAGAAACAGGATTCTATAGTGGTTCAAAAAATCTAAGTGTAAATTCTCAATAATATTTTTTGTTTTTTATATTTAGCTACTGACACATTTGTGTCACTGTTTCTGTTTCACTATTTCCATATTTACTTATAACAAAAAGATAAAAACTAACCATGTGGCTACAGGCAATATAATCTTTATTTCTGGTTTCTGGAATCCATTCATGGCAGATGCCAAAGACAAATTATAAGACCCCATATTTTCAAACATTATCCAGTCTCCTACAGTCATGATGGGCAGGGTACATTTTTCTATAATTTGATCCAAGGTATCACATGTAGGTCCCCACAAACTACAGTTAACTCCAGTATTATCAGCAGTGTCCTAGAAGTGATTAGAAAGTTTGAATAAATATTTTTGTTCCAGAAAAATAATTTCATTAATATCAAGTAATGCTTTAGTAAACATTAATTCTCCAATATGGGCTTGGTTCGATGGACTGACCCAGTGCACTTGGGTATAATGATTCTATAGTTCATACAAAACTTACAATAAAATTAAATCATGCATCATAAATTATATAGTTATGTATAGTAAGGTTTAACTGAAGGCCTCAAATGTAAGAGTTGTAAAAGGAATATTGAAGTTTTTTGCAAATCTTCTAGCTTTCAAGTATGCAAGTTGATGAACATGCACTAAATTCTGAATTTACTTGGTGTACCTTTACAAAATTTGGCAAGCTTTTCTTTTGATTCATTACAAATAATCCAATAGCAAATGTCAGAGAGAATTACTGAAATTATGGAAAGATTGGATGATATAACTTTATACTATGTTTTAGAAATATATATTCTATAAGTGTGTCATTTGTGTCAAACTCGGAAAGCCAGATAGGGGTAGAAATATGATCTAAAATTGGCAATTCAGAAAAAAGAAGTACCACATGATAAACACGAGCAAAGATTGAAATTCATATAAATATTTCCCTTGGAAATTAAGAAATGAAAACGTGTATAATATTAAATTTTGAATATAAGCCATGACATATGCACTTTCATCCAATGATACACATAGGGTTAATGATTGCTAAAAGTTGTCCTAATATAAATACTATGTGTATTTTATGTGTACTAAATCTGTACACATAAAATATGTAATTCTTACAAATGCAGGAAGGTTTTGTGGTCATATGTTTATCTAGAAACACGTACTTTGATTTAACATTAAAAGAGTGCGTTTATATCAAGCTACTCTAACTGTATGGACAATGAGTTAGATTACCCATATCAGAAAATAAAGAGAGATTCAGAAGTGATCAGGCAACATCATACATCTTGAGCAGAGAATAACTGAGATACTGATAGTTCTGGCAATGTTTTTGGAAGTCTTTCCCAGAAGTCTGAATTAATGCTTCACATATGAATATCTATCTTAATGAGTCTTAAATATTTTGGAACTACAGGATCTTCTCAGTTATATTCCAGACCAATTCTCTAGCAAAACTAGGAAGCAGCTTACAAAACTGCATGGGATGGAGCACCTTAATTATATACCAAAAGAGTTTCTAGGGTTCATATTGGATCAAGAATATCAAGGGCCAAAGCATCTTAAAAGTATCTCACAACAGATTGATAATATACTTACTGTATTAAAGAGAACCTCTCCATTCCTGGCATGCCCAAGTTAAAGAACCTCATGCGAGCAGAGTAAGGAGGAAGCTATATATATGTCAAATTATTGAATTATCTGCTAAAAACAGCCTACTCTCAAGGGCAGGAATGAGCAGGGTAAGATCAAAATTCAACATACAAACACAAGTTTAATGAATGGTTTTTTCCTTAGATTTTGTGGCTTGGAAAAGTTTTTTTGTGAATTATTGTAGGCCAACTTTCAATAGGCTCCTTAACCTGGTTCATTTAATTTTTTCATTCATTCTTCTGGTATATATTATCTTGTGACCCCAAGATGCAAGTTTGCTGTCAACTGCCTTCACATCTAATCTTTGTGTCTCTTGTTTCTCATGCCTCTAAGTTTCATCTGAATGCTGTTCTGTAATTTTTCTAGGAATTTCAATTTCAAAATAAAAGTTCTTACACATATTCGAAGAAAGAGGATATAAAAATAAATAATCCTTGAAACATAGTTCGTGGGACAATATCTTAACATTAGGAGAAGAAAATAAATCTTTACAGACAACTCTAGTACTAGACAAAAAAATTAGAGGTTTAAAGAGAGGTAAGATGAAAACCTTCAAAAATAAATCAACATCTCAATCCTGTCATATTCTCTGACAAGATGGCTACAAAATATTAAAAAAGTGATGTGGCTCAAATGGGGAGGAAGCTATTGCATAAAATTAACTGTAGATAAAATAGTAGCCTAATAAAAATGAGAATAACAACTGTTTTTCAATAAAAGGATAGTTAAAATTTCAAGCAGTTGAAGTAAGAGAAGCCATAAAGACTTAATATAAAGATACAGACACCTATTTGGACAGATAAAATGTAGAACAGCATACAAGAGTAGCTGAGAAGCATTTGTTAAAAAGAAATACCTCCACTGGAGAAGGATTAAGTGGCTTACGGAAGATCCCAAAGACTAACTTATTGGAACAGACAATGTCCCGAAAAATTTGGGATCAGCTGAAGTTAAGGAAGTAGTGAAAATTTATCCAGATGAACTTGATCTTCTACAACAACAACAAAAAGCTTCAGTTGCGTTTGTTAGATCCTGGAGAGTTCACCCTCCTAGACCTGCAGTGTGTAAAACACAACAATTGTAGCGTTAGAGATTTCTACAAATATACTAAAAGAACCAACTAATTATTGAAGTAAAAGCTAATATCTATTGCTTGTTAATGTAAAAAGCATTAAATAGTTGTATCACATGTATAAAAACGTAAGAAGTCATGACCATGGAGACACACCAGAAAAAAAAACTTACAGAAATATTAGAATAATTACACCAAAAATCGAATAGTCATCAAATGACATCAGAAGGTTACTCTAAGAAACCCCATTCTTGAAAAAATGAAAAACTAAAACCTTTTTCAACCTGCACAAATCAATCATAATTCAGTCTCCAATTTTCTTGGAAACTACAAATTAGTGGAAAAATTATTCTGGAGATGGGAACTTCTGAAGCTTGTCTGGCCAGAAAAATCCCACTGAAATTTTTCCATCTCATGCCAAAATTGTGCACATTTGCAGTTCCATTTAGATCTCAAAAAACTTGAAAGAAATTTGCAATAGAAATGATGATAGAAAACATTAATGACTGAGGTTGAAGTGTTACTATCCTGAGCTCACTTGCATTGGCTCAGCTAATTCTGAAGACTTCTTTTCAACATTTTGAAAATACTTCTTACATTAACTCAAAATTTTTACTTTATATTTGACTAATGTTTTTTGTTTTGTTTTTTAGTTGTTTGTCTGATACTAAGACTTATTGGCTTAAGATGTTTTCTTGGGTGTAATCTGCTTCCATGATATCATATTTAGAAACTGTAATCTGTTTCTTTTTGTAGTACTTGTGGTACTTGGTAACATTTCAGACTCATTCAGCTTTCTGGCTAAATCTTCTTTGCAAAAATGCCTTACTCCAGGTATTTAGTTTAATTACTATTACAGTTTTTTTTTTCTGGTCCAAAACGTTTTATATGTTTCTAACTTTGTAAATTACTTTCTGTCAGTAGTCTACTTGTGATTTTAATTTCTAAGCTTTTGTTAGTGGGTGGCATGCTTCCTCTCAACTGACCATCAGTTCAGCCAATTCCCTCTGACATTCACCTTCTATAACTAGACTTCTTTTTAAGTCAGTCAGTAGAAGAATCAAAATGTTTGGCTCACCTTTCAGGTTTCTTTCACTTAAAATTGTGGATCCTACAGATTACATTTTTTTGTTTATATATCATATCTTTTCCTACTCTTCCACTAGACCCTCTTTTTCAGCCGAATCCATAAGAAAAGCAATCTAAAAGTTCATTGACAGAAGCTATAAAATGTGAAGATTCAAAAGTCAATGTGTATGATGATAAAAAAAAATAAAATCTCTAAGCTCAAGAAAAAAACTGAAAATAAAAGTGCAATAATCTTCTCAGTCAGTATATGACTGAAGCTAGAAATGATATTAGGTTCTTCAAGAAAAGAAAAATAAATTCCAAACATAACAATAAAGGAATATCCACATGAAGCGAGTTAGCCAGATACTCCTTTGAATTTTGAGTAAAAATGAGCAGAAAAAGAATGTAAAATAATTCAGTTGAATGGAGCCAACTTCAAGTTCAGGTTTGATGTAAAATGTCTTTCATAAAAAAAACAAGCAATTAGAAAATGTAAAATCTGATCCACCATGACAAAGATGTCTGCCATAGAGTTCACTGTGGAGTCTGTAGCTGACAAATCAAGCTCCAATGTCCAACAGTTATGAAAGGCATGATGAAAAATTAATCCTAAGAAAAACACAAGTCGATTCAGGTAATACTTTAGTAAGAATTGATATGTCAAATCTCAGTAACTCAATCAATGAATAGATCAAACAAGTCAAAAGTTATGTCAAAGAAAAAATTATATATAATCAAAGAATATTCTTTTGAGTAAAAGTATTCATGAAGACTATATACTAGTGTTAGATAAATCTTTTAGATAAAAAAATGTGAGGAAATATACAAAAAAAAATGATAGGAGAAAAAGAAAAAAATCAATGACATAGTTTGATGTGTTGCCTCATTGTCTATCCTGAAGTACAGTTAACTATTTAAATATCATCTTTTACCATACTTCAACATAATATCTGTAGTTCCAATTCTACTCTATTTATATATTATATTTTCTGTAATTCCCAATTTTTTTATTAATTTATATCAGGATTATATTTTTCATTGCGTATTTAATAAACTTACCACCAAAGGCACAGGGTTAAATTTAGATTGTTCAAATAACAAAGAACTGAAGGAGCCATAGATACCATCACTGAGGTAGTACATCATCACTGGATCATCTAAAAAATAAACTTGCTATAATATATATATATATATA